CCCCAGTACGTGCAGTTACCCACCTGCTCTGCCCCAGTACGTGCAGTTACCCACCTGCTCTGCCCCAGTACGTGCAGTTACCCACCTGCTCTGCCCCAGTACGTGCAGTTACCCACCTGCTCTGCCCCAGTACGTGCAGTTACACACCTGCTCTACCCAAGTACATGCAGTTACACACCTGCTCTGGGGACTCCAGTGGGGGACACCAGTCACTGAGCAGTTGTCTCCTTATGGATTGCTACATTCAGGTGCTAATCTGACTAAATCTGGGAGGACAGGATTCTTAGCCATCGATATTTCATGTTTCCATAAACTTGGAGATCTTGAAGGAGGTGACAGATGATATGACAACATAGTAATTGTCATTTTTGCAGAGCCTCATGCCTTCATCAGGAAATGCTATAATATTGATATATGTGATACTTTTATGTTGATTGCTGCTTATTCTGGAAATCCCTTAAAATCCAAATAATTATTGAGCGAACTTTGAATGTTTGTCTTTGTAGTGACAGGACTTGTCAGTATATAAAGTATTGTAGATGTGGGCACTGCCATGAAGTGTATGAAGTCCTGCTAAGATGACTGAGTGAACTGTCAGCAAATATAGGCCGCTGCTGACGGTACCAGAGGGGGCTAGGGTGTCAATCAGGAATCCGGGGTCTAAAGGAGAATAGGGATGTGGCCTGGTCCCATGGAGCGGGGGTTCCCATCACAGATAAGTTGAGCAGCTGAGCTCCTGTACCCTTGCCCTCAGTAGCAGTGGGCCCCTGCACCGCGCAGACCTGATCGAGGGGGCACATGGCTGTTGCCGTCTGCCTTGGTTGATTAGCCACCTGAATGAGGTGGGCCGGGAGAGGAGTAGGCTTGTGCTGGGGGGAGGCGGTGGTTGCTTTCTCTGCCGGGTGAGCGTGTAGCCCAGATGGCCTGGCCGGTGCTCTCCGGCGGACAGTGTGCTGAGGCTGACAGGCTAAAAACTGCCCCGGGAGAAAGGAGACTGGAACAGGAAAGGGTAGATCTTTGGTCAGTTACATGGCATTCTAACTGCGCCCTCAGTGGAGAGCTCAGTCCGTGGCACTTTTAGCGGCTGGATGCTCTGAAAAGAGTGCTCGTATTGGGGCAGGTGTAGAGGTCCCTGTAAGATCGTAAAAGCGTGTGGTTCTATAGGAATGATCCATTTAGCTGTAATTATTCATGTCAGGCTCCTACCACAGACTTCCATGAAAAACAGACATAGTTGACATAGCAGCTGACTCCAGATTCTGACTTTTCTACTTTAACAATGCGTACGTCATGTAATTGCTAATTGTCTTTTTTTGTTTTTTTTGTAAGCAGGGGTGATTCTTCAAGAGAGCCTTCAGACTTCGGGAGTTTACAGCTTGATTTTACACTCGGCTTTTGACACTTCCTTTAAATTATGTTTTTATTAAGAATATTTTATTATGGGGAAGGGTATTGGGAAGACTGTGACCTGCATGTCCCATCGTGTGTATCGGCTCCTGCATGGTGGCTGCCTGGTGTTGACACTCTCCTTTTCAGCCCCCGCCTCAGACGGGAGGCGGGACATCCGGGCAGGAGCGGTGACAGGGCGGCTGGAGTGCCCGCCAAGCGCCTCGTTTCTGCAGCCGCCTGCGTCGCTGTGGATTTGCGTGTGTGGCCTCTCGCTTCCCCAGGGAGGCCTAGACCATCATGCGCTTGGTGTGCCCAGAGGGTAACTTTAGCTGATGCCTACACCCTTGGTGCTGGGGACCTGCGGGTGCTGCCAAGAGCAGTGAAACCAGAAACGAAGCCTTGGCACTGCCCCGCCTGGGGACTGTCAGTGCCAACCGTGGCTGGGACTCGCTGTCCAAGGGACAGTCAGTTTGATGTCACATGAGTGGCAGGAAGTCTGTGTCTCTCTGCAGCGTGATTTGAGAATCCCTGTCCTCTGGCTGGGCGTCTCCTGGGGCTGGGAAGCACTCCTTGCATCAAGGGGTCGCTCAAAAAAGAACAGAGCCTCTAAGACCCTCTCACATATCAACAGCTTTGCTCGAGGGACTTCTTCCTTCCGGGATGGTGTTACTGCAGTTGAAAGGCAATATGAAAATCTATTTTCTTTACATGATATAACAATGGGCACAGCTGTGTGCCCCTTGTATTCTGGCTGGACTTGGTGTAAACTCTAACTTAAGAAATAAATAATGCAGAACAAGAGATGTGCTTTGTCATGCTCTTCATGTACTGGCACATGGGAAGTGTCTGCTGCCAGGCATGCCTGTGTGCCTCCCGTCATCTGAGCGCCCGTCCCAGGCTGTCCTCCAGGGGAGCAGTCTTATGTGGATGACCTGATAGTTTAAAAACTAAGAAAGGAGCCGAAACCGGTTTGGCTCAGTAGATAGAGCGTCGGCCTGTGGACTGAAGGGTCCCAGGTGCAATTCCCGTCAAGGGCATGTGCCTGGGTTGTGGGCACATCCCCAGTAGGGAGTGTGCAGGAGGCAGCTGATCGATGTTTCTCTCTCATCGATGTTTCTGGCTCTCTATCCCTCTCCCTTCCTCTCTGTAAAAAATCAATAAAATATATTAAAAAAAATAAATAAAAACTAAGAAAGGAGCCCTTCTTTGTAATAGGGTCCAGAACTTCCCAAAAGACTTCAAATTTAGATTCTCAGCATCGAAAAATAGAAATTCAAAGTAGCACGGGTGCCACGTGCGCTGTTCGGGCTTGCGAAGGGCGAGTAGCGTGTTGTTCATAGAAGCCGTCCCTCCGCTGAGCGGGGACCTGGCAGACTGCTTTGTCCCCTGCAGGTCGTCCTGCTCCCCTAGCCCAGAGACCGGCTCCTGGGTGGTTTTTCCTTCAAAGTAAGACTTAGCGATACTGAATTCCTGCTCCTTGAATGTTGGTGAAACTGGCACCCACCCTCTGGCTGCTGAGCACACCTGCTCACAAGCTGCCTCCTCCACAGAGTGAGATCCAGAAAAGAGGTGGGCTCCTTGCCCAGCCAGCATGGCTCAGTGGTTGGGCATTGACCTATGAACCAGAAGGTCATGGTTCAATTTCCAGTCAGGGCACATGCTCAGGTTGCAGGCTCCATCCCAAGTGTGGGGTGTGCAGGGGGTAGCCCATTGATAATTCTCATCATTGATGTTTCTTTCTCCCTCTCCGAGTGAGATCCAGAAAAGAGGTGGGCTCCTTGCCCAGCCAGCATGGCTCAGTGGTTGGGCATTGACCTATGAACCAGAAGGTCATGGTTCAATTTCCAGTCAGGGCACATGCTCAGGTTGCAGGCTCCATCCCAAGTGTGGGGTGTGCAGGGGGTAGCCCATTGATAATTCTCATCATTGATGTTTCTTTCTCCCTCTCCCTAATTAGGCTGATGGGGCAGTTGGGGGTGATCAGGAAGGCAGGCAGGTGAGCGATTAGGAGCCAGCGGTCCAGGATTGTGAAAGGGATGTCCAACGGCCGGTTTAGGCCCGGGTACCTTAGGGGGAGTGCTACCTCTCAGATAGTAGCAGTGCACTGGACATCCCCCAAGGGGTCCCGGATTGGAGAGGGTTCGGGCTGGGCTGAGGGGACCCTCCTGTGCGTGAATTCTGTGCTCCGGCCTCTAGTGAGTACCCGTCTGAAGAAGTGGGCTCCTTTTCAGTCTTCCACTCGCTGTCCAAGGCTGTTGTCACTGAGGCCAGAAGCTGGTGTCCCTCGGACCCAGAGCAGCCTGGCTGCCTCATCTCCGTTCCTCATGGGCCAGAGTAAATGTCTCCCCTCACAGATGTCTTCATGTTCATCTCGTACTTCGAATGTGGCTGATTGGGGGGGTTGTAACCTCTTTTCCTAGCCAGTGGTTCCATACAAAAGCCATTCCCAAAACAGGGTTCTGACATGCCCGCTGGTGACAGCGCTCCCTGGAACAGTGAGGACTCGGCTGGGTGTGAGGTTTGCAAACACTCGCAGTGGTTAGAAGTTCCTGCCTCTCCCTATAAGAGTACCTCAGTTAGGAGCTGGCCACTTGCATAGCCTTTCTAGAAAAGGACCTGGATGCCTTTCCACGGCTCGTGAAGCCTGAGCAACCCTGCCACCCGGCTTGGCAGATGAGGCCGAAGCCGAGAAATGCCCAGGAGGGCGGGCTCCGTGCCGGTGTTCAGTACCCAGAAGCTTTTGGGGGAGGAAACCTGGCCAAGCTTCTCTGGTGTCCTTCAAACCCAGTGACCGGGGCCGATTTTTAGCTGCCCAGAGCAGCTTGGCTACAACGTGACTTAACCTGCCTTTGCAGAAATCGGCTCTTTCCCAATAAGCATCTCAGGATCGTGATGCCTGGGCTAGCATCTTGCATGTGAGCAGGAAAGGGGTGGCAGTGCGGGTGAGGGGGTGTCATTTAAAATAGGGGAGGAAATGAGTCAAGCAGCTGTCTGGGGGAGGAGCATTTCAGGCAGGGGAGGCAGCCCGTGCAAAGGCCCTGAGACAAGTAATGAAAGGTGGTCAGTCGCTGGAATGCATAAGCAAGGGGAGGAGGCGGAGTTGAAGGCAGGTCAGGAGGTCAGAGAGCTGTGTAGAGTAGACCATGGTTTGGGCTTTGCTCTCAATGTAATGGGGAGCCCTTGAAGGGCTTTGAGCCCAGACCTGTCCTGGTCAGACGCTGGCTTTATAGCCTCTGCCTCTGCTGGTTTGGGGCGGGGGAGTGGGGGATAAAGCCAGGCCCTTTTTGTGCAGGTGCCTATGTGCTGGAGAAGTGGTACCTGAGGATGACCAGTGCACTGCTACTCTCTGAGAGGTAGCACTCCCCCCAAGGTACCCGGCCATTAGAGCAGGTCTGGACTGGAACATGACCATCTCTGTGTGGGAGGACCCCAGGGCTGGCGTGGCCTCCTGGACAGAGCGGGACTAGGCATGTGACTCATGACTCAGCTACACCCAACTGTCTGGCCAGATGTTCTAGGAATAATCATTCTTGCTCCAGGTCTCTGTAATTTATTGAAGCGCAATGAGAACCACAGTTCCAGCATGCCAAGGCTGGAGGCTGCCTGCTTGCTCTGTAACTGAGGTGCCTTGCCATCAGCAGAGGGCATTTCCCAAGATAACAAGTTCCTTTCTGACCCTGTCTAGCCAACTGGAGTCAACAGACCGCAGCCTGGGCAAGATGAGCATCTTAGGGACAGGGACAGGGACAGCCCCTTCTAGCCCAGCCCCAGGATAGCCTGGCCAAGTTTTTACAGGTTCTTTCTGAAGGTGAGGTTCCTCGGGGCTCATGCTAAGAGCAATTTATTAGCTACACAGCCCGGAGTCTGCTCAGGATTGAAGCCACGTGGGACCAGCCTCTGTATGCAATGCTGCTGAAGGAGCAAGGAAGCCTGGTGCTCCCGTCCCCCTCTGAGCAGCCAGATGGGTTTATTGGGAGGTCTTTGGCTCAAATAGGCAATCCCTGTATCTCCCAGGGTGAGTGCCAGCTTCATCCCTGCGCTCGCCTGCCCACGGGGCCCTCACAGGACGCAGCAGGTGCAGGAGATGGGCCTGTGCTGCTGCAGCCTCTGCTGGAGCTCCTCCTTCTCGGCCGTCAGCACCGTCACTCTCTCCTCCAGCTTGCTCAGCTCTGCTGCCCACTTCTGAGGGGACATCGTAGAAACCGCTGTCTAAGCTGACATCATCTCAGGTCCACACACACACCTCCCAGGGTTGAACTGACGGAGGAGGGCAAGGCCCATAGAGCCTGATAGTGGTGGTGGTGGGGGGCTGCTCAAGGCCTCTGGCACCGGATTGACACTGCCAGGTGGGGAAGCCTGGTCTTCAGGCCACGCAGACACCCCTGATGGAGTCAGACCTGGGGTCTTGAGGGAAGCTGAGCATCCCAAGCCCTGGGATGACCTGTCCCCTGCAGCCTCCTCAAGTACCAGAGGCAGCTCAGGTGGCAGCCCCTCCTCCCACAATGTCCTCTCTCTCCACCTTCCTCTGCTTTTCTGCCACCTGATGTTTCCCTCTTGAAAAGGCTTTTGCTTGGGACTATGTCCAGCACTCCCTGCCCCTTATCTTGAGGGCCTCCCCCAAAATGTATACAGCCCTCAGGGTTGTCTTAAAACTTCTCAATATTCTACTCTGCTGACTCCCCCAGCCACGCAATGGTGGAATATGGCAGGTGGTAGGGATATTTCAATTCAGCCCCTCGGGCACACTCACGGGGCAATGGAGCATCAAGGAAAAGCTGAGGGCTTGCCCAGGACTGCTCAGCTTGGCTCCCATCCCACCTGACCAGCCTCTCCACTTACCTGTCTGCACCACTCCTGGATGGCGTGGACGGCCAGCGGGCCCTGGATGCTCCCCTCACGGCGCAGGAACACCTCCCCTAGGTCTGTCTCGTAGAGCTGCGGCTCCGCCTGGGCCTTCGGGGCGTGCACGCTCAGGCGGATCACCTGGCCAAGGGCAATAACAGCTCTGGGATGCTGCAGGGGAGAGTGTGCAGCCCAAATCCTGCCTGCTTGGTCCTGGCTTTCGGCTCCTGGGGACAGTCTGTGGGGCTGGTGCAGGGCTAGTCCAAGTCTCTTTTCTCATCACCATTTCCCGACTCTCCTTTGCACCACCTCCTGCCCAGCACTGCTCAGCAGAGTAGATGTGGGCCATCACGTGTAGGGTGGTGAAATGACAGATGACAACAGCCCCAGAGACCTTCCTGTCCCGCAGCTCACCTTGAGGGGCATGCCGCTGGTGGAGGTGGTGACCACTGGGATGAAAGTGAGCGTGTAGGCGTCAGGGAAGACCTGCGGCCTGAAGCCCTGCAGGACAGAGTCCACCAGCAGGCGCACGCGGTCCTCCTCGTGGTGGCTGCAGCGGATGCCCCGCACGAGCCCGCTGTCCTCCACGCCCACCAGCAGGCTGCCACCCTCGCTGTTGAGGAAGGCACACACGTAGCGCCGCAGGTGGTGCTTGAAGGCCAGGTTCAGGTACTCGCCGCCGCCCCTCTTGAACTCCATGTTGCGCGTCTCACTACCCAGGAAGGCGCCCTGGAAAAGCCTCTCCTGGCCCTGGATCTCCTGGTGCACGATGGCGCTGTCCGAGCGTGTGCAGCTGGGTTGGTGCATGGAGCTAGGCCACCCCAGGGCCTGGGCCGGCGGGGCGTTGGTGTGCCTGGCAGGTGGGCGGCTAGAGCCCGGGCTGGGTCCGGGGCTGGGGCCAGGGCTCGGGTCTCTGTTCTCCTCCTGCTGGTGTGGAGCAAGAATCCCTGAGCAGGACAGCAAGAGGGACAGGCTTCCAGAACTCCCACCTCCACCACCCTGGGGCCCAGCCCACTGCGGAGCCCCGTGTTCCTCCCAGGCAGAGGGATCTAATTCTGCTCAAGGTCCTGCAGCCCATGAGGGAAAGGCTGCTGGATCAAGGTTTGGAACCAGCCACTGGTTCTTGCCGGCTGGGCTGCCCTCTTCCCAGGTGGACTGTGAGATGCATGGTGGGTAAGAAGAGCTCTCCTTCTCCGGCTGGAAGCTGGGACAGCTGTGGGCCAATCTCTTCCCACTTGGCTGGGACAGACCTCTGAGGCCCAGGACTGGGTCACCAGGAGATACCTCAGGTCCCATGTGACAGCTTCAGGTCTCTGAACTGAGACCCCACCCCTTCCTGATCTTCCTGAAACCCTAGCTGATCACTTTCTGGACCACTCGTTCCTCCTGAACGTCAACTTTCCTCAGGCCCTCCCTAGTTCCCTTCCGTGCTTTCTGCTCTGTCCGGGGGCTCTGGGCATGAGCCCACGGCCACTCCCTGCCTGCTAGGCTCTGGAAGAGGCCTCCAGCCCGGGAGCTCAGTGTGGGCAGGGGCATGGCGATAGGGGCATTCCCTATCCGCCCCACAGTGCCCAGAAAAGACAGGTGTATCACAAACGTGAGAAACTGTCATACAAACACGCAATCAGGCTCTGATCTTGAAGTGCAAGTCACAGAGCTGTTTAGTTCTGCAGCAGTTTAAACACAGAGGCATTTTCACCCCAAAAGGAAAGGTAAACCAGGACCACCTGTCTCATGGAGTGACCTGCGTGGCCTCAGTGAGGCAAGTATTCCCTCATGTTCCCCGTAGAAGCCAACCTTTCAGTCCCACTGACTGGGTCTCACCGCCCTGGGTGGCCTGGCACCTGCCCTCTTTCTTCCTTTGCTCTTTCTGCAGCTTCAGCCTGAGCTCCAGGGACACCGCCTGGCCTGCCTTCTGCCTATAACTTCCCCTCACCACCCTGTTCCTTTGTATGTGCCATGTTCCTCTGCCTGGAATGCCAGCCCCACTCCCTAAATCCCAGCCCGGCGTTCACTCCCCCTGCTAATTTGTCCCAGAAAGCAATGGGAGCCCTCCTGTGTCCCCCCACAGTTACGGAGGCCACCATCAGCTTCCTCGGCCGTGTCTGGCTCTGTTCATAGATAGAGGGCTCCCTGCTTTACAGCCTGGCATAGAGCGGCTGCTGGTGTTTGTCAACTGAGTGAGGTGGTCCAAGGAGGAAATGAGGATCCCCTTGGGACCTGAGGCTGGGCCGGCCCGGCTCCAGAGGCGGGGATGCAGAGGACCAGGGAGGAGTCCCGCACATCCGCCTTTCTACACATGCTTCTGGCTGGAAGCACACTGTCCCTTTGGGAGTGAGCTGGCAGCGCCCACTGCAGGCCAGTTTTTTGGGTAGCAGTCCCCAAGTTTGCAGATTTGTCCCCACTTTCTCAAAGATACCCCTCCACCTATGGATGGCGGTGCAGGCCATCCATACCCAGACCCCTGGATCAGGCTCTGGGGCTTGCAGCCAGGTGGCTCCGGGAAAGCCTCACTTACCTCTCTGTGGTGTGTGGGCTCACAGCCGTCTCCCAACACCAGCTCCTTCCCGCGGGCCACCAGCTCCCTGATGATCTGGTGCTCCTCCAAGGCTGTTTGCAGGCGGCAGCGGAGGGAGGCCAGGGTGTCCTCAGGGGTGGCCACCTGCACCAGGGCATAGGCCTTCCGCGGCCGCCTCACCACCTCGATGTGCTCCCGCGCCACTGGCAGCTCCAGCCGCTCCAGGGTGTCTCGGAGCAGGCAGGCGAGCACCGGCACTGAGAACTGGGGGTTTAGGTGGCCCACGTAGAGCATATGCGTGCTGGGAGCCCCCTCCAGGCCTGAGTCCTCAGGCAGGGACTCTTCTGTGGGGCGCTCCTGCAGGGACTGCTTGCCTGGGGGCTCCATGAGGGGCTCCTGCACCAGTTTGTGCTGATCTCTTCCCGGGGGCCCCTGGAGGGGTTTCCCTCAGAAGGGCTTCCGGGATTCCTTACTGCTGGCTGCTCTTCCCAGGGCCTCAGGCTCTCAGCTTGGCCGAGGGCCTCCAGGGGACCAAAGAGATGCCAAAGCTCCTGGGAGGTTCACAGATGGGCAGGGGCTGGGAAGGGCCAGAATGAGAGGGAGGGCAGTGGGCTAGCAGGAAAGGGCCTGCCAGCCACCCCAGGCCTGGGACAGGAAAGAGGAGTCAGACAGGGCTGGGCCGGAGAACAGAGCATGAGAGCCTGCCCCTCCAGTCCAGGGGGCAAGATAGGGGATATGCCCAAAGAGGGACAGAGGGGACCAGGACTCAGGTCTCTGAGGCTCTGAGGCCTGACTGTGGCCCCACTGCTGCTTCTGCTTGCCTGGTCTGAACCTGGTGTGAGCCCAGAATGGCTCTGAAATGGTCAGGGCTGGGTCAGAGGGTTTTAGACCAGAGGTTTTATGCTTTGGGCACGCTGATGAAAGCTATGGCCTCTCCCCAGAAGAATGGGCTTTGCATATATGTGTATGTCTAACTTGAGAAGGCTCGTGGACCCTTCGTAAGAACTAGCCTAGATGGAGTCCTCCGTTTTTGGTTCAGAGAGCATAAGTGAGGAGGGGCAGAATGATGGTCAGCGCTGGGGCCCTACCCGCCCTCCCACCTCCCGCCAGGCCAGGGACCTCAATCCTGAGCTGTGCCCACACCAGCCCCTCCACTTACCCGCCCACACCCAGCTTCTGGTCGGTGTGGCAGGTACCACCAGCCTGCATCTTTTCAGATTGGATCCTTGAAGTTGTCAGGGCCTGGGGGCCACCAAGGCTGAGGTGGGGGCATTCAGGACCAACAGGAATAGAAGGACAAGGGAGGCCTATGAACCTCATGTCCTTGCTCTTCCTGGGAGGTAGTGGCCTGAGCTCCCACAGCTCCCTGATCCCTGGCCAGCAGCTCCCTAGGGCACTTGGGGGCTTGGCATGGGGTGGCAGCAAGAACCAAGGCTGCAGGAAGTGGGCGGGGCCCGTGCAACTACCTCTGTGATCTCATGAGAGCCAATAATGCCTTCTTGGCCAGCCTCAGGCAGTGGGCAGGCAAGGGTGGGAAATCCCTCAGGAGGATGCTATCCCCCACCCCCACCCTCTCTGTAACCATACACCAGCTTGGCCCCAAGGCTCCCTGGGCAGCTCCCAGAACCCAGGGGCTGAAGATGTACTTCCTTCCTCTGTGATGTCTCTCTAGGCCAGCGGTTCTCAACCTGTGGGTCGCGACCCCTTTGGCGGTCGAAGGACCCTTTCACAGGGGTTGCCTAAGACCATCCTGCATATCAGATATTTACATGACGATTCATAACAGTAGCACTATTACATTTATGAAGTAGCAACGAAAATAATTTTATGGTTGGGTCACAACATGAGGAACTGTATTTAAAGGGCCAGAAGGTTGAGAACCACTGCTCTAGGCCCTAGTGCCATGCAGGTCCCATGGTGCCCTCCATCCCCGCTTCAGTCATCAATCCCAGGCTCCAACTGGGCTCAGCTACCTCCAGGGTGGGTCAGAGCTCGCACAGTTGGGTCCAGGGCTCCCTGACACCAGGCCCTTTTCTATGCCGGAGGTACAGGAGAGCCCTGAACACTAGGCCAAGGCCCTATGGGGAGCACCCCAATGAGCAGCACAGCCTACCAGACCCCAATGTTCAGGCGTCTGTGGAAAACTGTGCCTACTCTGGCTTGGTAGCCCTGACCCTCTGGCCGCTTTGTGGAGACCATGGTTAGGAGCCGACAGTGGCCGAGGGGAAGGGCATTCTAAGTTCATCAGGATGTCAGAACCAGTCACTGGCGAGAGCTGGCAAGTACGCCCTTCCCCTCAGAAGTCTCCTTACCCACTCTCCCCGACCCCTCCCCGACCACCCCCCAGGCAAGTGGCTCGAAGAAAGGAAATGAATGACCCAGAGCGAATGGCTGGACGAGCTGGAGCCTCAGCGTGGCCCTGAAGTCAGGTTACCTGGCTTCAAATGCCTACTCTAACACTTCCTGGCTGTGATCTGAGCTGCTCTTTCCTCACCTATAAAATGGGTTTGTTGTGAAGGTTAAATGAGCTCATTCTAGCTCATGTAGAGCCGTGTGTGGGGTACACAGTGACACTCGGGTTATACTGAACTGTGCTGCTGCCCCTACACCTTCTCTGCCATCCCGTGAGCACCTGCCCCTGGCCCGGTTAGTCTGCACCTCTCCTTGCCTGAGGATGTGGATGAGCCCAGACACTGAGGCTCCTGGGAGCTGCTAACCTTAACAGTGTTCTTCCAGCTCCGGCTTGAGGAGCTGCTGTGCGCACCGCTGTCTTGCTGGCATGCAGTGCTGGGACCCCAGGGGACACCTGGCTAATCTGTTAGGAATTTGCTGGAATTAGAAGAACTCAGGGATCATCCTGTCCAAGCTCCTCATTTTATATGTGAGGAAACTAAGACCATGAGGAGGGACTGACCTGCCTGCTGGAAAACAGTGATTTGGCTGTTGATTGAAAAGACACTGGCATCTATATTGCTTTTTATTTATAAACAAGTCAACATAAAATAGTCCAGAGGGTAGCAGGGCAGCTGTGCTGACCTGCTTGCGAAGGAAGCATGTAGACAGCGGAGTGGGTGCAGCCAGACTCCAGCCTGGAGACCCTTACCTCCCACCACCCTAGGGACTTCGTGGCCTAAAATCATTGGCCCGACCTTCTGTGGCAGCAGTTCTGGCCAGAGCAAGGAGCTGTGCTGGGTCAGTGCGGGCAGGGACTCCCATTCCGATGGATGAGGCTGGGCGATGGGCCCAATAAGGAAGAGAGGGGAAGGTGACAGGACTTTCTCCACCCAACACTGAGTGATGTGGTCAAGGCTTTATGGGTCTGTCTGTCCCAAAGAGAAAGTGCCCTGAGGTTATATCCTCTGTGAAGGGGCCACACCTCTCTAGGACCAGGGCAGGGCAGGGCAGTCTTTCTCCTCCTGAAACCCCATGTTTGGAGTGAGGAGTAGGAACTGAAGGGCTTGCCCAAGTGCCAGAAACAATAAATAACAATACAAAATGAACTTTTTTTTTTAAAAAAAAAGGTAGAGGTTTGCACCATGAGTTTGGAATCTGGGTATCTCGAAGGAGAAAGCAGGAGCTGTGGCAGTGGGTACCACATCAGACCCAGCAAGGGGTAAGGGGACTGGGCACGAGTGTCAGTTCAGGGCCCCATCTTCTGAGACCTCAGGGGTCCTCCCCTTTGCCATCACATGGCAGGTGTTCAGTCTAAACTTCTGAGGCCGGCCAGACTTGGGAAATAAATAGAGGGGGCCTCAGAACAGCGCCAGCCCTGGGCCCCACACTCCCCCTTCTCAGCCCTTCATGGAAGGACATGGAGGGGAGCAGTGGGGGCTCTGCATAGACTCCTGAAGTCCTGAGGTGCGCCGAATGCCACCAACCACCGGGAGCCAGCTGCTGGTTGGAGAATGCCGCCCCGTATGCTCCACCCCTCAGTTGTCAGGCCGTGTCTTCCTGCTCAGAACTTGCCCTGCTTCAGCCGGTCAATGTGGTAGGAGAGCTTGAGCGCGGGCCCCAGCTTCAACCCCATGTACTTCATCATGACGTCACTGCGCAGCAGGAGCAGGGCCTTGCCGTCGATCTCCTGTAGGGCGTGGGAGAGGCGCCATCAGAGGCCTGGTTGGTCTGACCACCCCAGGGAAGTACAGCCACATGGAATCCAGTGGACCTGCTGTGACACTAAAGCCTCCCTGGTCTACCACCTTTTGTCTCCTACCCTCCCTTCCCCACAAACAGCTATTGCTGAGCCCACCTGCTAACCTCTTCACATGTTTGTACCAGTTTCCTTTCTCTGTTGAACCCTCCCAGATGTCTGAGTCCAGCTCAGTTCCATTTCCTCTAGGAAGCCTCCCAGTCAGTGTATATGACCTTGTTATTCTGAGTCCTCTTCCTTCCTAAGAGGCAGGGACCATCTGTGTGAGCTAGACACACAGCAGGCCTGAGCTAAGAGTGCCCTCCAAACCCACCTGGCATGGGAAATTTAAATGAACTGCACCAAGCAGCAGGGGAAATGGCCTTGTGCCCCAAATCAGAAGAATGGTCAATGCGGAGATTAGGAGTAGTCCCTGGCCACAGGGCCAACTGGTCACTTGAAGAGATGTGTGAGAGGCTAGGACAGTGATGGCGAACCTATGACACACGTGTCAGAGGTGACACGTGAACTCATTTTTTTGGTTGATTTTTCTTTGTTAAATGGCATTTAAATATATAAAATAAATATCAAAAATATAAGTCTTTGTTTTGCTATGGCTGCAAATATAAAAAAATTTCTATATGTGACATGGCAGCAGAGTTAAGTTAGGGTTTTTCAAAATGCTGACACGCCAAGCTCAAAAGGTTCGCCATCACTGGCCTAGGAGAAGACGAGGGCCTGATGAGGGTGGAGAGCTGGGGACCACTTGGCAAGGGACTCTCTAACTTGGGCTAAGGCCCCTGACTCTCAGGCCAAGGCTGGCAGATGAGAGAGCAGCGTACCTAGGAAGAGGAGGGCCTGTCCCTGCTACGGAGCCCACAGGGCACACACCCAGCAGTGAACTCAGTGCCCAGTGAGGGTTGGTTGAGACCCAAGATCCTGACCCCAAGTTTGTGTGGTCTCCTGAGCTGTTTCAAGGGACCTGGAACAAATGTAGAGCCCATGCCCTACAGAGTCTGTGGCTACAGAAGCAATACTCCCAGTGAACCCGAGAGATCAGCAGGGGCACCTACGTGTTTACGAAATAGGTCAGCGTGGGGTCCAAGCTGAGGATCAGCTTCCCGAACAAACTGCATCACATCCTCGACTGTCCATGAGGAGGGGTCCCGGCCACTCACTCGAGAGGCATCCCGGCTTTCCAGGTATCGGTCCGACCCTGCAGGACAGAGGGACAGCTGGCATCATGGGTGGGAACTGGTTTGAAGTCCCACCACACTCTTTGGCATGTCCTGTTTTCACTCTATGGGTGAACTAACAGCAGAGGGACCAGAGGCAGCAGAGGGTTTCCATAAAGGGTCTTTGTGAGTTAAATCTTTGTTCTTTAAGGGTAGATCTGATTTTGAAAATAGAATGTTACACAGAGGCTGTGACTCCTCCTGGGCTAGAGTCGGGTAAATGAGGTGATGGGCTTACTTAGGTTCGGTGGGACTGGGGGGTGAAACTGTTTTTGCTGTGGTTCTGGCAACCATTACTGAGAGACCTGGGAACTGGGCAAGAGCAGAGCCCAATTCCTGGGTCTAGAGAGAAAAAAGTGGAGGATAAAGCCCTGGGGAAGAGCTGACCTCCCTATAGCTAATGTACAGAGGCAGACAGTTTTGCTTTGGCTTCCAGAAGCCTCAGCGTTACTTTAGTGCCCCGCTTAGAGCTTGTATCTCAATCGTGGCTCAATCGCCACTTCCCTGTGGGAGTTGGGATCTCTATTCTGGTCATCACCTGCCACGGATCTCTGGTACATGGCATCCCTCTTCCTGGAATGTGTCCCTCCTCTCCCTTCAATTTCTTTTCTTTGGCAAACCCCAACTTAGCCAAGCAAGGGATGGCTTCAAGAACCAGCTCCTCTGTGAAACTCTTCTGGTGTAATATGGAAATAACTGGCCTCACAAAGCATTTTGTGTATCCCTGGTTACAGCTTAACTGCTACACACTTCTCCCATCACATCGCCTAATAACCTGTTATCGGGAAAGCAGTCAAAGCAGCCTTTAAAAAGAAATTGGATGATGTCAGTCCCTAGAAACCCCATGCAGTGGCCTCCCCTCACACCTGACAGGACATCTCAACTCCTTGGCCTTGCAGTTGCTCCATCACCTGGCCCTTCCTCCTTCTGACCTCACGTCTCAGGCCCAGCCCCATCTTTCCCTCACAATAATCCAGACAAGCCAGTTTTCTTGCTGCTACTTGAACAGGCTATGCTCTTATTCTTTGACCTGTAATTTCTTTTGTCTGAAATGCTCTTTTTCCAGATCTTTGCATACCCAATTCCTCCTCAACATTCAGGTCTCATCTCAAATACCAATTCCTCAGAGTGGCCTTCCCTAATCTCCTAGTAAAAGCACTCCATTCCCCATTGTCACTCTCAACCCCATTAACTCTGTAGTTTTTGTTTTTTCTTTCCAGCACATATGACTACCTAAAATAATTTTATGCATCAATGTCTTCTATTTTCTCCCCTGCTATGTCCTTATGGTATTGTGATTTATAATATGAAACATACATATTTGGTCTTAATACCCATTTATGGCATAGAACTTTTAAAATTCTTTGAATTTCCCAAGTGGTGAGATAAATAAAGGTTATGATGAGCCCCTTTCATTATAAGTATGTCAATGAGATGACTTTCGGAAAGACCCTAAAGATGGGAGTTGCTTGCCAGAAGAACCAACCAGGTGGCTAGAGAGTTGGACCTTTCAGCCCCACCTCCAAACTCCTGGGGAAGGGAGAGGCTGGAGATCGAGTTCAATCACTAATAGCCAATGATTTAATCAGTCGTGCCTCTGCGATGAAGCTTGGGGCTGGGCACTGAGCAGACCAGGGGAGAAGTGTGCTGGATTAGAGCCACAGAAATTCCGATGGCTTTTTAGAGGTGGCAGTAGACAGGAAGTTGGGGAGAACTCTCTATAGCCAGCCACTTCTCCCTACCCTGAAAGTCTACTGTGATGCTAAGACAGAAACAAACTCAGAGATTATGGAGAGCAGAACGGAGATATACAACTGAGCGTCCAATTCTTCTAC